GTCGCTGGATTCAAAGTCCAAAGTGCTAACCGCTACACCATAGAACCGATATCAATCTGATTTCATAAAATATTTTTCTAGAAAACTATACATACCTTATTAATATTTCCTTGAACACGAACAGTTGCCCAATATTTATTTAAAACCATAGTTAAAAGTTGTTCATGCTCTTTATATTTTGTTAAAACAATTCGTAATAGTTCAACCTGAATAGAAATTAAATTAGACAACAAATACTAAAACACACAGATTTTTAACTAACTAATTGATCATATTTATAATCAAGTTCTTTGCCCTGATTACCAATTAGAAGGCAACATTCAATAGCTGAGTTATTTGATTCACCTATGTCATTACCTAATGTATCAACTAAAGCCTAATAAGAATAATAAATAAGATAAAAAACAAAAGTAAAAAAAATCAAACTTTAATGAATGATGTTTTGATAGAAACTTGTTCATTGGATAAATTCTTCAAACAAAATATTAATTGATGCCATACACGATGTACCAATTCAACAGACTCCAAACCTGATCTAAATATTTAAATATGAAAATTACAAAAATTGGTATAAGTTAGGAATTTAAACATTTGATCTTTTCATCTATATCTTCTTGTAAAAATTCTTCAAAGATTTTACATTAATTAATTGTATTGTCGTAACAGATGAAAGATAAGACTGATAGTTTTTAAAACGATACTATTATTTGGACAAATGAGTTTGAATTTACAATAAATATTTTTCATTGTAAGAAAAATCAGGGATAAACTTCTTTATTATAAAAGTTTCTTTCAATCAATAAAGCTGATATTATTTGTATTTTCAGGTCTAATATCGAAATCATAAACATAATGCATATCTTATTGTTGCTTATAATACTAAATATGTAACTTAAATTCAGTTAATAACTTTTATAGAGGAATCAAATGTTCTAAAATTCTATATTTTTATACGCGTGAAGGTTTCGTAGAAAGTAATTTTCTTATTGAGAATACACGAATGATTGCTATGTTGTTCGATGAGTTATAAGCATTATAAAAAAGAAAATTTTCTTCATAATACATTTATGAAATTGTACAGAAAGATTTAAAAAAAAAAGTTTTGATCTATTCACTCTATGACGGGCATTATATAACAAACACAACTTAACCCTTTGAGACCCACAATTTAATCTATGGACGAAACTTCTTAAAAACTTGATATTCTGTATGAGCATTGAGTATTATTGACACTTCAATTGATATTTTAAAAAAATATTTTAAGTCAT